GAGAGAGAGAGAGAGAGAGAGAGAGAGAGAGAGAGAGAGAGAATGTGAGAGAGTGCTTCACGACAGCTGGGGTGAGCACTTCACGGGCGCTTTCCCAAAACAGAACGACAGGCAACCGGCTCTTCACGACAACGACAAAAGACAAAGCAGCCATGATGCATTCTGTTGTTTCAACGGGAAAGTGCGCCGCGTCACATTCGGACTACCTGTTGAAAAGGGCCGTCGTCTGGGCCATCAGGCCCTACCGGGTCCACGCCCTGGGTCTTTTTCATTATTATTATTTTTTTTGCTCGACGCCCAGGGTCAACACGGTCCTAAGATCACAACACCTCGCCGATCCATGCCGTCAGTCTGGTAGGGCCCAACGGTTAAGATCGCAGATTTGTCACATTCTTTCGATGATTGTGTCGATCCAGGCCGTCGGTCTGGTAGGGCCCAACGGCCCAGATCGCAGATTTGTTAGTCTTTCACACTAGCAATTTAATAGTGTAGGGAGACACACACACACACACACACACACACACACACACACACACACACACACACACACACACACACACACAGAGTGTGCCATTCTTGTTGTCAGGCATTTGGACCAACAGTCTGCTAGGATTTGCAGGGTTGTTGTGTGTAAAGTCAACCAGGGGTATCCAAATCCGGGCAACGTGGTGAGCCCATATCCATCAGTCAAATGCATTCTGGACAAAGTGTCAGGGTTCAACCTCCTGATGACTAGGTGACAACCCGACGAAACACTCTGGCCCAGTCCAGCTTTTTTTTGTGGATTGGTATATAGCGAACATGCGAACATGACCACACACACGCACACAAACACACACACACACACACACACACACACACACACACACAAAGATTTACCAGACGGTATGCAACAAATGCCAACAAGGCACCTTAAAACTTACCTTGGGCAAGAACACATGTGACATTTCATACACTTGTGCAGTGAATCCCGTCCCTGCATCCATGATCAGAGCCCAGAGATTCTGACACGATGCCACACTGCTGATGTACAAGCCATCATCATTGCCCTTCTCAACATGCTGTTGCAAGCGAGAGTCCGCCACATTGTAATGGTACCTGCAAACAAAATTTGTCCCAATGCTAAAATTAGGACTCCCACAAATTACAAGAAAACCTGCATGAAATGTCACCTGCCTATGATGTTAAATAAAAGGTAGGGATAGACGCACGAGCCACAGAGTCCGCCAACCCAGACATCTCAGCACTTTGCCCCATATATGGCCCTACCTGTCGATGCGAGGCCGTTATGAGAATGATGGACTACATCTTCCCGCTAGACAGCTGGACAGATCGACCACCACGGAGGTCCCTATCTAAGACCCAGATCTCTGCGTACAAGAAAAATCCGCATGAAATATCACACGCCCATGATGTTGAATAAAAGGTAGGGATAAACACAGGCGACAAATTCAACCAACCCAGATGTCTCAGTATGTTTGCCCCATATGTGGCTCTCCCTGTCCATGTGAGGCCATTTTCAGAATGATGGTGCATACATCTTCACCCTAGACAGCTTGGCCGATCGACCACAACGCTCAATACCTTCGACATGACGGAGGTCCCTAGCTGGGAACTACATCTCTGCATACATTGCACAGTAAACCATAGAGAGCACACTTGGCAGACAATATCCTTCCTAGCTGGCAGCACAAGTTGA